ATTAGGGTTGGGCCCGAAATTTTCGCGAATTTTTTTTCTTTCCTTTGTTTTGAGAAATTCCGAAAACGGGGTTAGACCGTTAAAAATCGGATTTTGACGGTGGAAATTCCCAAAAATTCACGTATTTTGAAAATTTGAGTGTTTTTCCCTGACTTTTTCCGAATTTTTTTTCGGCAAACTAATCCCAAAATGACCCTCAAGTTGCAACTTCCGGGTAGTTCACTCATTAACGGTGAACTCCCGGACTAAAGATGATCTCAACGGATACCTAATCTTGATACAATTCAAATTTGTTCGTTATCATTATTACAACTATTGCTTATGGATTATCATTACAAAATTTTATTGCAAACATTGTTTTATTGATTATCATTAAGAGTTATTATTTCGTTATTTATCATTAATTCACTTTGTTGATTAAATAATTCGTTAATTTTATTTCTTATTACGAATTTTTGAATTGTTTACGGGAAATTGATTTTTTCTGTGTTGATTAGGTGTCTACAGTCCATCAGAGGGACAGGGGACTGTATGCGTATTGTTTGATTGTTCTACCCCTGTTCCCACCCTCCCTACCCTCCCCGTACTCTGTGACCACGGGGTTTCTCAAGTACCACATCAGCTAGCACTGATGTCGATGGAACAAGACACCGGGGCACTGCCACGACGCAGTGCCAGGCTTGCAGGGTGTGCCCACTCTGTGATACCTCTCCGACGCAGGACTCAGCGACTCAATAGCAGGACGACTCCAGCGGCATCGAGTACAGCATTGATGGTACTGGGTACCACCGGAGTTCTTCCCGCATGCCCGGTCCAAGGGGCCGGTGAGCCGTTGGCAGATTACCTTCAGCGGGTACACGCATTCACCGATGCCGTAGCAACCGCAAAGGCACAGGAGGAAGCAGAGGCGGAACGTCAACGGCTGGCCAAAGAGGCGGCAGCCCAAGCTCAGCAGACTGCTGAGGATGACGCAGCAGCACGGGACCAACGGAATGCCGCCAGCACGGAATCCCTGATTCATAATGAGAATCAGTGGACAACGATCCTCGAGGGCATGATCTTTGTGCCTTCGGAAGAGCAGGCAGATCCGACACCGGCGGAGGCAGAGAGGACTCACCTGGCTAACGTGATGTTGACAATGATGCGAGCGATCATGTGGAACAATACGATGTTAGCGGTACAAATACACGAAGGCAGACAGCTGCAACAGATGCAGCAGAAGGATTTTGCAGCCTTGTCAGCAGCTGTTCGCACTACCGCCACACATCAGCAACAACAGCAACAGCTGTGGAACACCACCACTGCACGCGTCAGCAGCATCGAGGCTAAGGCCGCAGCAGCGCCAGGCTGCACTACAGACGAGACGAAGCAACTCAACGGGCGCATCGATCACGTCGTCAAGCTCATCGGTGACATAGGTGTTTTCAATGGGCCGGACACGATCAGTAGCACAGTAGCCGCCATCAAGACGGACATCACCAAGCTACAGACGAGACCGGACGCCGCGATGAAGAGTTACAAGATGCCACACTACGACATCAGCAAGTTCGACGACCACAACAAGACGGACGCCTTGGCATGGTGGCAACGTTTCCTTATGGAAGCATCTTGCCGCACTGTCCCAAACGACTACATGATGAAGGCGCTATACTTACAGCTGATTGGAGGAGCACAGGCATGGATGAACCACCTGGCGGCTACCCACACATGCACCATCACCGAACTTCACACGCACATCACGTGGAAGGAGTTCGAGCAGCTATGGTTCACCCGGTTCATGGTCCG